ATTACAGCGGGGGCGGCGTGCTCGGGGAGGAGGCGGAGCAGAGGTGAGCAGGGGTGGGGAGCTGCCGCACAGTTCCCCAGGCCCGGGGGGGTGGGGAGCTGCCGCAGGGGTGCCTCAGGGTGGGGGGGGAGCTGCCACAGGGCTCCCAACCCCAGCTCACCTCTGCTACGTCCCCTCCCCGAGCACACTGTCGCTGATCCACTTCTCCCGCCTCCCAGGCTTGCGGCACCAAACAGCTGTTTGGCACCACAAGCCTGGGAGGGGAGGAGAATTAGAGCAGAGGTGAGCTGGGATGGGGAGCTGCCGCACAGCTCCCCGGCGGGAGAGCTGCTGCGGGTGGGGGCGCCTCAGGGCGGAGCGGGGAGCTGCTGCAGGGCTGGGGGGGGTGGCGCAAGGTGGAAGTTTCGCCTAGGGCGCGAAACTTCCTTGCACCGGCCCTGGCCGCCGCCCCCTCCTGCCCCCAGACCCAGCCTGCCGTGCACCTCCCCCGCCTCAGCCCCGTGCTGCCTGCCCTGGGCGGGGAGAGGCAGAGCCCAGTTCCGAGTGGGGCAGTGGATACTGCCCCACCAGGGGACCCCTGCGTCTTGGGCACTTGGGGGTCAGTGTCTGTCCTCTCGGCTCTGCCTGCACAGGGCTGGGGAAGCAGCTGTCAGCGCCTGGCCCTCTCAGCCCTTGCACCCCCCCATCCCGCTCGCAGCCCGTCCATTTGTACCTCCCCCCGTCATTCCTTCGCTGCACCCCTTCCCCTTGTACCCTCCCTTCAACCCGCATCTCTCCCCTTGTACCCTCGCCCTTCCCCTGCACCTCTTCTCCCGCAACCCTCCTGATACCTTCTCTCCTCCTTCACCCTCATCCGCGAGTGCATCACACCCTGCTTCTCTGCCACTGTACAGCCCCCAAGCACTCCCACACCTGCTCCTCTGCCTGAACCCTCTTTACTAGAGACCCACCCCTTTCCGGGTACAAGGTTTGAGGGTTAGTCCCTATGCCTTCCATGTGCATTTGGAGCACTAAAGATTGGGTTGCGGGGGACGGGGGGGGGTGAGATTTATACTAAAGTGAAATAAAAATAGGAGAAATGGTTTGATCCCCACTGCAAGTGTAAATGGGGATTGCTGTGGTGAACGAGGAGGTCACGTTTCGGGGGGGGAGCCCAGGGCTGGGGCAGCAGGGGGTGCCGGTGGGGGGAGAAGAGAGACCCTGGGGCTGGGGCGGCAGGGTATGGGGGAGGGAACGGGGGGGGGGAACCCAGGGTTGGGGGGGAGGGGGGCAGCCAAAATGTTTTTTGCTTGGGGTGGCAAAAAGCCTAGAGCCGGCCCTGCACAGAAATTGTCTTTATGTAAAATACAAGATCAACTGTGCTTATGAAAGAAAAAATACTTACCTGTAATTCTTATTCTCTGAGGTATGTGCAATAGACCCACACCTCTGAGTCTGGATATCTAGTGTAAGGTAAGTGGGAATTCCTATAACTCAAAATTCTGAGCTGACAGGGCTCCACCAATGGTACCATGTGCTCTCCCTCTTATGGTAAACTCTAGTGACTCCTACTCTCCCCGGCTCACTTAGGATCAGTCTGGTACACAACACATTATTCTTAAATAATCTTAATATAATATGGTTCAATCACGAAATGCTAAAGCTCACTCACTGTGCAAACTGAAGCCACTTTCACCAGAAACATAACATTCCATGTAAGAAACTTGAAGTCACTGGTATTTATCTGAGGAGGTTTCATCAGATTTATAAATATCATACTAAGGGCCTGATCTAAAGCCCTTTTGTTGAAGACAATGGGAGTCTTTCAATTGACTTCAATGGGTTTTCAATCAGGCCTTAAGATTTCATGACACCAAGGACTTCTAAAGGGCAGGCTTTAAATGTAACAAGCCCCTCATGAATCTGAGGAAAAGGGACAGCAGAGAAACTGGTCTGCCTTCAGCATGGTGATACACAAAACTGAAACAGCAACCAAATGTACTCTCCAGGATGCAATCTGAAGTAGCAAGGAGGACTTCAGGCACCTGCTTGGAGAGTCCAAACCTCTCCAGCTTTACCATCCAAAGAGCCAGGCTTACACAGAAAGAAGTCCAAGGGTATGATGCAATGAAGTGTCATGGCTTTGTGTGATCAGATGTGACAAAACTCTCATCTGATTAGATCAGCATCAGCTACTACCACTATTCACAGTGCTTAGAACCATATTGAGGAATTCTTAACAGTTGCACTCTAGGAGCACAGACCCAGTAATACAGAGTTATTACAAAGCACCTACCTTTGGAGAATAGATTTTTTTTTATGTTACAAATTTTACAAAAATTAGCTAGATAATATAATTCCGTAGTAACAGCTGAGACAGATATACTATATTGCTTCTTGCATAGCAATTAGCCCTCTATTTTTCACTCTTTTTGAAACCAAACCAAAACCAAACAAAAACACTTGTATATTTTTTACTGTCTGAACTACATAAATATTGTACTTTTATTACCTTAATAGCTTTAAACCGCTCAGTTTCATGAAGTGGATTGTTGTAACAATTATTACAGTTGCAGTTGTTGCAAAAATCACCATTGACAAAGCAATCGCAATACCTGTGATTAACAAAGCAAATATATATAAAAATTAACTATTTTTCATCATTCTCCTGTTTCAAGAAAGAATTTCTGGTAACCAAACAAGAAACATATACGTCTCACACACACACTATATCTGATGCTTACTTCTCTCTCACACATTTTATAATCTATGCCAAAAACATAATGACATAATGAAATTGTATCAGCATCTGTATCTCTCCCTATATATATATATATATATATACACACATGGAGAGGAGTGAGCCTCAAGTATACAGAGGTTGATACAACTTCATAATGTTTTTGCCACATATTATAATCAATATTATTTAGTTTCAAGTTTTATTCTTCAAAACTCTGGACCACATGTAGTCATGTACACCTCTGGGCTAGATCCACAGGCGGTGTAAACAGCGTAGCTACAATGACCACAATGGGCTTACACTAATTTACACCCACTAAGGATCTGACCCTCTCTGGTTTTAACCCAACATACTAGTTGTGTATTTTGGAACATGCATGTATTCTATTTCGTGTTTTCTAAGCTTTGCCTTTTCCAAAATAAACTTAGCTCATATTTCATAATAAATGCTAGTTGGTTAGTTACTTACAATTTCAAACACTGAGATTTGGTACAGTTACACGGTTTTTTAGACTTTGTATCCCATGAACTAAGAGGCAATCTATAAAGATTAAAAAAGAAAAAAGATATTAGATGATATTTTAATGTAAAAACTTATGAAAATTAATTATGATTATTTTCCCCTAAACCACAAATACTGACTTTTTAGCATCAGGTATCAATATTATTTAAAGATGATTTTCAAATACAGCATAATTAAGAAAGATTCATTAGCTATAGAATTATATGGTGAATTCTCCATAGTTAGATTTCGAGTCATCAGCATATAAATTAACTTTTAAAACTGACATATTTTATTCTTTCAGGTCCCCAAAGTCCAAATCACTGACTCCAAGTGATGCCTAGCATGCACTATGCTTGTAACATCACATCAACTATGGAGTCTGCTGGAACATACAGCAGGCCTATGGGATGGGTTAGGAGATGTCAGATAAACACAAATTTTTTTTTAAAGCATATTATATAGGTTTTCTCAATTTTTTTTTTAATCTAGAATGAAATAAAGGAATGTCAAATTCTTGAAATATTTCAGAGTTGAAAGAAAGGAAAGAACCCCAAATGTGACTTGGCCTACAAAAAGGTGATGGGGAGAGAGGAGAATCTGGTTTTTATTGAAGTTTTCAGCTGGGGTTTTACTGAAGAGTTAGAGTATGGGATAAATCTGCAGCACTACAGAGAGTTTTGCAAAGAGTTTGGAGTGCAGAAGGGAGAAGATATATGTACTGATCCAAAAAATCCCAAACTAAAACAAGGTTTGTTTCATGGCTTTTGTAAAGGGAAATCATGCCTCACCTATTAGAATTCTTTGAGGGGATCAACAAATATATGTACAAGGGTGCTCCAGTGGATATAGCATACTTGGACTTTCAGAAGGCCTTTAACAAGGTCCCTCACCAAAGGCTCTTAAGTAAAGTAAGCCATTATGGGATAAGAGGGAAGGTCCTCTCATGGATCAGTAACTGGTTAAAAGACAGGAAACAAAGGATAGGAATTAATGGTCAGTTTTAAGAATGGAGAAAGGTAAATAGTGGCCACCAAGGGATCTGTACTGGATCCAGTGTTGTTCAACATATTCATAAATGATCTGGAAAAAGTGGTATACAGTGAGGTGGCAAATTTTGCAGATGATACAAAATTACTCAAGATACTTAAGTCCAAAGCTGACTGCGAAGAGTTACAAAGGGATCTGATAAAACTGGATGACTGGGCATCAAAATGGCAGATGAAATTCAATGCTGATGAATGCAAAGTAACCCACATTAGAAAACATAAGCCCAACTATACATGCAAAATGATGAGGTCTAAATTAGCTGTTACCACTCAAGAAAGAGATCCTGGAGTCTTTGTGGATAGTTCTCTGAAAACATCCGCTCAATGTGCAGCGGCAGTCAAAAAAGCGAACAGAATGTTGGGAATCAATGGGACCAATACAGCACTGGAGAGTCTGACAAACAGTGATTGAAATTAAGTGCTCTAAATAGAGCAGCACAGAGGAAGCCACTATTTGCAGGTTGCAACTGTGGTGTCCTGTCCCTTTAAATGTTTGAGCATACCCCCCTGCCCTAGTGCAAAGCCTCACTTTTGTGTTAGTTTCAGTATTCCTGCTGAACAATAAACCTGCCATCACAGCAGTCACCTGTGCTTTTATCAGCTCCCTCTGTGTCTATCTCCTTCTGTGCTGGGTTCAGATAGAATATATTAGTGATGAGGAATTTTTATCCCATGAGTATCTAGTGCTCCCTTTACCTGAAGAAGACAATCATCATCATCATCATGATCATCAAAAAGAAAAAAGTTCATCTAGACCAGGGGTCTCAAACACGCGGCCCGCAGGGTTATTTTCTGCAGCCTGCGAGCTCCTCGCAGCCCCCCCACCCTCCTCCAGCATTTACCTAGAGCGGCTCCAGCCCGACGCACACCAGGGCAGGGTAGGCTCCCTGCCTGCCTGCCCTGCCCCCGCGCCACTCCGGGAAGCGGCCGGAACGTGGGGAAGGTGGGGCACATGGGTCTGTGTGTTGCTCTTGCTTCTTGCAGTGCCCCCAGCAGCTCCCATTGGCCGCAGTTCCCCGTTCCCGGCCAATGGGAGCTGCTGGGGGCGGTGCCTGAAGCAACAGCAACACACAGACCCTTGTGCCCCTCCTCCCCCAGGTTCCGGCCGCTTCCCGGAGCAGCGCGGTGGTAGGGCAGGGCAGACAGGGAGCCTACCCTGCCCCCAGTGCGTGCCGGGCCACAGCCCGCCCCCCGAACCACTCCTGCAGCCAACCCCCCTGCCCTGAGCCCCCTGCCCCGAACCCCTCTTACACCCGCACCCCTCTTGCGCCCCAGCCCCCTGCCCTGAGCCCCCTTCCGCATCCTGCACCCCGACCCCCTGCCCTGAATCCCCTGCCACACCCCTCCTGCACCCCAACCCCCTGCCGTACCTCACACCCTGACCCCCTGCTGCACCCTGCACCTCGACCCCCAGCCCTGGACCCCCTGCTGCACCCCGACCCCCTGCCATACTCCACACCTCTCCTGAACCCTGACCCCCTGCCCTGAGCCCCCTGCCGCACCCCGCACCCCTGAACCCCCTGCCGCCTCCTGCACCCCAACCCCCTGCCCTGAGCCCCCTGCTGCACCCCACACCCCAACTCCCTGCCCTGAGCCCCTGCCACACCCCACACCCCTCCTGTACCCCCTGGGGGCAGGGAGGGGGCAGAGTTGGGGTGGGGATTTCGGGGAAGGGGTTGGAATGGGGGAAGGGAAGAGGTGGGGCAGGGGCGGGGCCTCATGGAAGGGGTGGAGTGGGGGCGGGGTCGAGGGCGGCATGGGGGAGGTGTCAGTAATGCGGCCCTCATAGTCATTTGAGTTTGAGACCCCTGATCTAGACTCAGAGGCACAAAGTGACAAACTGCTGCTTTTTGCTGCTGGGACTGTGAGAGCCAGCTAGCTAGAGAGGGAGAAGCAGGCAAATAAAATTGAACAAAGGATAAAGGATTCTGCAGTTACTGCTGGAGTAGTGCAAACAAAGCAATGAGGAAGAAGCAAGCAGAGAGGGAGCCCAAGTGCAACCACAGGAAGAATTCTGCATTCTGCAGTGTAGACACAGCCAGAAGAGGCAGATTAAGTGCAGCTCGTGTACAGTAAAATGGAAAAAAAAAGTTTCACTGTGGTTCTGCTTTGAGCAGGGGGTTGGACTAGATGACCTCTTGAGGTCCCTTCCAACCCTGATATTCTATGATTCTATGAAAGAAGACCTTCAGGAAATGTGAAGTCCAACAGGAGAGCAGAGAAATGGCAACTCTTGTGGGCAATGTTGGTGAGTTCGATGAAAACCAGAAATCATGGGTAGTGTACCTTGAATGTTTTGAGCAATTTCTTGCTTGCAACTCCATTTCAGACATGCAAAGAATTTCAATCTTGCTGACAATGATGGGTTCCAAAGCATATGGACACCTGTGCGACCTACTGTCTCCAGCTGTGCCCTGAACTGCTACATCTGCCACAATTTCTGCAACAATGCAGGAACATTTTTTCCTACCCCGCTGATAAAGCAGAATAATATTGGTTCCATCAGTGACATCAGGGAAGCGGAGATTCGGAAGCACAATTTGTTGCTGCTCTCAGGATGTTGTCAGAACACAGTCAGTTCCAACAAACATTAAATGATGCCCTACATGACCAGTTTGTCTCTGGATTATGCAATGACCAGATCTGGAAACAGTTACTGACTGTATCAGCCCTTACACATTCAAGAAGGCTGTTGAGATAGCAATTGTCATGGAGACCACAGAGAAGGATTTGCTGAAATTTAATGTGAATCAAGAAGTTCCCCTCCTGCATTGGCGAGACAGAGGACCACGGGAACCTAAGGAACTTCTGTGTGGCTGTTATGCATAAACCACATGTGCTGAGAAGGAATGCTGGGCATGCCAGCTTATCTTCAGGAAGTGCAAAAAGAAAGGACACATTGCTGTGACCTGTCACACAGTTCAATTACCAGCAACACAGAGTAGCCATACATCTAAGAAGACACCTATGGAGACTGAACCTAAGAAAGGATGGAAGTTGGGAATTCATCATATGGAAAAAGACAAGATTTCTAGTGACACTGATCAAGACCTAGCACTATATCTGTTATCAGAAGCTGGAGTAAGAGATGCTATCTTGGTCACATTCTTGATCGACGGAGTTCCTACAAGAATGCAGCTTGATACTGGAGCTGCCATCTCACTGAGTTCTGCATCTACCCATCACCAGATGTTGTCACAAGTTCCTCTGGAACAGTGGTTCTCAACCAGAGGTCCGGGGCCCCTTGGGGGGTCATAAGCAGGTTTCAGGGGATCTGCCAAAATAAAACAGAGCAGGGCTGGCATTAGACTCGCTCGGGTATGTGGCTGAAACTGAAGCCTGAGCCCCACTGCCTGGATTGAAGCCGAAACCCAAGTAATTTAGCTTTGCAGGGCCCCCTGTGGTGTGGGGCCCCGCGCAATTGCCCTGCTTGCTACGCCCTAATGCCGGACATAGCTTTCAATCTACTGGATGTGCAGAAAAACAACTGTTGTGGCACAGGTGAGCCATGGAGATTTTATAGCATGAAAGAAAAAGGCTGAGAACCCCTGCTCTGGAAGACACCTCATGGTTTTGAAGACTTATACTGGAGATAAGTTAGTCCCCAAAGGGATACTCCAGGTGAAAGTTCACCTTCATGGACAATCAGTTGTTTTACCCTTGTATGTGATTGAAGGAAAGTATCCACCATTCTCAGGCAGATCTTGAATTGAGAAGCTCAAGGTGAATTGGATTAAGATCAAGAGGATAACAAAAGCACCTTGAAATCAAGAAACACTGGGCAGACACTCCAAAGTTTTGAAAAAGAAGTTGGATGGATGAGCAACATGTCAATGAAGCTCACTGTTAAGTCTTTAAGGTGTTTCCTATTAGCCACATAAATGATAATGTACATAGATTAGGGAAGTTTTTTAAAGTAGGGTGGGGAAATGTGATGCCTGTCCCTTTAAAGGTTGGAGCACTCCTCCTTCCCCAGTGCAAAGCTTCACTTTCCTGTTAGTTTCAGTTTTGCTGAAGAAGAGAGGGGAAAAGACACATTAAGAACAACAGTATCAGTGCTTGAAGTTAACTCTCCAAAACGACAAGAAATATTACAATGGTTCTGTGTATATATATCTTCCTACTGTATTTTCCACTGCATACATCCGATTACGTGGGTTTCAGCCCACGAAAGCTTATGCCCAAATAAATTTGTTAGTCTCTAAGGTGCCACAAGTACTCCTCATTCTTTTCGCTGATACAGACTTACACGGCTACCACTCTGAAACAAAATAACTTGACACTGAAATTAGTGGAAAATTAAAGGTTTTGTGTTTCTTACCCAACTAAAGTCATTTTTGTTGACCCTTGAAGATTTACTTCTGATTGGAATGTGGCACTGCTAGCTTCTGATTGTAAGGATCCGTTCTCAAGCTGTTCAAAATAATAAGCAAAAATTCTGTTTTTGCTAAGTTTTAATAAAGACAAATCATGTCTGTGACTATGAGAATGAGACAGAGAACAGTGGACTGGTTTAATCATGCAACAGTTACTAATAAAACAAATGGAGGCACAGATCTTGGGAAAATATGTAGTCACATTCTTTGGAAAGGTTCGATATGCCAGGGCCCTTGTCCTCATTATTACAGAGAACTAGCAGTAAGTTTCATTTATGCTGTTCATCACTGGCACAGTATTTTCATGCTGATGTCTAGTCTGGGTCCAATCTCTTTTTAATTCCGGCAGTCAGTAGCCACTGGCCACTGCCACTGATGTTTTCCACTGAGTTTAAATGTAATAAACCCTTTGACTGGCCCCAGAGCATTTGAAATTTTAAAAGAGAAACAACGGTTAGGACCTTTTTTGGAGAGGATCAGGAAAAGAAAGGCTGGGGCTATGTTGGGAGGTTATACAGATGGAAGGAGAAAACAGGGAACTGTTGGGAAGAAGAGGACGTGAAGGAATGTAGAAATAGAGGATACAGAAAGATATGGAAAACAAAACTGCAAATTTCTTTACACCACATTTCCAGTGTGTCTCACCCCTGACCTGCAGTCACTATCTTTATGGATAAGAGAACACTTCAGGCGCCTTTCTCCATTCAGCGCTTGGGGTTTCTCTCCTCTCCCCTTTTTATATAGACACTTATCCACTAGGAATTCGCCTGAGCCACAAATTCATCTGACACATTTCATTCAAATTAATATCATTCAAATCACACGTCACCACGTAATAACTTCCAGTCACTATTGGTTTGAACTCTATTTGTACTGACAGACTAGAAATCCAGGGCTTTCTATCTTCTTATCAGGCTTCTGTCCCATTGTTTTATTTAAACTAACACACTGTTCTAACAACTACCGCAGTGATAATAGATAAATAACAAGGATAACAACCTAAATACTTATAAAGCATAATAACAATGAACATTTTAAGTCCTAACCAGGGTGAGTAGAGGAGAGGGAAATCCTACTGAAGTACAACGGAGGATGCTTGCCAGAGTGCTTACAATGGCAGAAAAAATTAATGCCCAGCATATGTATTATGCATTGGGTTGTGATTGCTCCACTTCAAAATTTGACATTTTAAACAAACACTCACACACACACAGAAGGCAAAAGTGAGTTTTAATTCCAAAACCATTGCATATTTTATATATGGTGGGAATTTCTTTCAATTATGGCTCAATCCCCCAAGGTGCTGACCACCTTCAACTCTGACAGATTTGAATGGGAGTTGAAGGGTAATTGGCACCTCACAAGTGTGAATTTTCAGACTGCTATTCTTAGCTCATGTTCTCTCTTCAAAGCTTCTGGATGAAGAGTTTCCGCCTTTCCAGGCAAAAATCAGGAAGTTGTGATTTCATTTACAAACAGAAACAAGTCTCTGGCGCCTTGTCTGTATGGTGTCACAGACTGGACTACAGGTGTGTGATTTGTAGAGCACACTAAACTGTTGTTCTCTGACTACCCTGTGTAAATTCTGCTGACATGAACTAAAAAGGTACCTAGTTCATATTGATGTATTCCTGTTTCAGACAGGACTATGTTAACTCAGAGTAGATAACTTTTAGATCATGAAAGCCAGAAGGGTTGAGTGGAACACTTCAAAAAGCTCTACAAATCACACACCGATAGTCCAGATTGTGGCACTGTGTAGACAACACCTGAAACAGTTTCCAATCATAACAGCTCATATATGAACACCAAATTCAAGATCTTGATACTGTAATAATTACATTCTTGCTAAAAGGTATGTTCTTAACACTGGGTTCACTTTCTTCCAAAAATGATATTGAAATCACAGGCCTCAATATATCTTATTGTACACTGGATGCAGACCTAGCCAAGCGTTATACAGTAACTTACATAACAGCTAGAAATTCTGATTTAAAGGGCTTTACAGAATTTACAAAGTGTTGGTTACTTCCCTAAGTCGAATGAATATCCCATTTTATGAATGAATGAGAAGCCTTAAGAGAAGAAATGACAGTATATTTACTTTTTTTCTTTTTTTTTTAAAGGCTTCCTCACCTGTTGTTCATTGAGATCCACTTTACCTGGAATTGGCAAAAATTGTCCCAGCAGAGATGTCATAGGGTTAGGCACATCTGATAAGAAAAAGTTTATATTAAGTTAATTGGATTGCTCATAGGTCATAAAGTTAAGCACATGCATAAGTGTTTTCAGGATCAAAGCCTAAACTTGTGGGAACAGATGTGCCATATAGCATCTTTAAGCCTTTCTTTTATTAAAAAAAAAACATTTCCGGAGTTTATCTTTCATCTCCGCTTCTTTGTCATAGATTAGCTTGGAACCAAACTCATGCTTCCCCCACAATAAATATTGTTAATGGAGGGTCCAAAAGATATCTCTCCAGAAACATTCCTTTTAAATTTGCAAAAGGGTTGCATTTTGGAATTAAATACACCTCTACCCCGATATAACGCGACCTGAAATAACACGAATTCGGATATAAGACGGCAAAGCAGTGCTCCGGGGGGGGGGGGGGACGGGACTGCGTGCTCCGGCGGATCAAAGTAAGTTCAGTATAATGCGGTTTCACCTATAACGCGGTAAGATTTTTTGGCTCCCAAGGACAGCGTTATATCGAGGTAGAGGTGTACTAAACAACTGCACACAGCCACCAAAGACCATCAACAGTTTGTCAACAAGTTGACCATCGGAGGCCTTTACTCTTTGACCTTAATTGCATCAGAGTATGTTTAAAAATACTCCAAATGCAAATTTTATAGCCTAAAATACCTTTACAAATAAGTAACTGACAGAACCTTTCATTGTATTTATTTCGGACTCTTATTTTACAACTTTCAAAGTCAAAAGAATGCACTTGGAGCAGAAGTATTTGCCTATGAACAAGAAATTACTGCTAGAAAAATAAGGAGGAGGCCATAGCCCTGGGGGGGTTTCTTTATATAGGTCCTGATTCAGCAATTCACTCAAGCACATGCTTAACTTGAAGTACGTGAACAGTCCCACTCACTTTAATTCATATTAATCCTCCACACCAGTTTGAAAAAAAAAAAGGATTAGACTCTATGAGATTGATGAAATGAATCTTGCTATCTGAAATTAATTTATAGATGCCTTCTTGCAGATGTTGTAAGAAAAAATAGAGCTCAGAAAAAAGCTCAAATTGGAAGCTTTTGGGGTCCATCACTCTGGGACTTTAATGGACTTAATTTCTGGTTCTTCTAATCCTGGGCCTCCCATTGCCCTCTGTTTTATACTATGAAGGTGAGTAAAATGGAAGAAAGTCTGGTCAAATGGGAGATAAAGACATATGGTAACTCTCTGATATGGTTTCACCATCCTCTCCTCTAGAGATATTGTGACTGTAATAGAATTTGGAATTTCAATATAAATATTTTCCTCATTTTGGATCTTTCAGATTTATCCTGGTAAGGGCCTTGTTTGGTTTTTTTACACTATATCAAATATGTTGGGCATCTGCAGAATCTACTGAAGTCAATCAGGGTTGGAAATGCTCTGCACCTTGTGAAATTGAGCCTGTAGGTCATGTTTTTACAGTGTCTAACAGAATCAGACCCTAATCTCAGATTGGTGCCCATTGGCACTACTGCAATACAAACAACAGAAAATAATAAAAACAACATGGAAGGAGACAATGGTAAGATGGCTCTTAAGAAAGTCATGCTGCTGGAGGAAAGAGAAGCTTACTAAAATGTTACCATTAAACTACATGCACATACAGCCAGGGCCGGCTCCAGGCACCAGCCCAGCAAGCAGGTGCTTGTGGTGGCCAAGGGGAAGGGGCGGCATGCTGGGCTCTTTGGCGGCAATTCGGCAGCGGGTCCATCGGTCCCTCTCGGAGGGAAGGACCTGCCGCCGAATTGCCGCCTAAGAAGAAAGCGGCGCGGTGGAGCTGCCACCAATCGCGATCGCAGCTTCTTTTTTATTTATTTATTTTTTTTCTGCCGCTTGGGGCGGCAAAAATCCTGGAGCCAGCCCTGCATACAGCATTGCTGTTGTAGATGAAAATCTTAATGCTAAATCCATGCCCCTTCAGCTGCTTTTTATTTTTGGAGAAAGTAACATTTGGTGGCAAGCTTGGGTACATGCAAGTGGGTGTCATTCTTGAGAATGCATATGGCTTGGACAAATTGCTTCCTACTGAATGTAATCTGCTTATTAACATCATATGACCAATTCATTAATTTCAGCACATCTATTGTAGTAATCTTGTGGTCTTTTTGTGAAGTACATAGCAGAAACCGTAAAATAATAAATAGTAATTGGTGGTAGTCCTGGCTTATCTCAGCACCAATGTTGCTTAGAAACACAAACACATAGATACACATTAATGATATGTGGCATAATGTCTGACATTATTTTAAATTTTCATTTTCTTTGTACCTGACTGAAGATAATTATGTTGGTTTTGATACTGGGGAACCAGATGAACTGTTTTCAGTTCTCTTGTGCCAGAATTGTTTATGCAGAGTATTTGAGTACCTCCTTTCAACTGGCAGATCACCTGAAATACACCATAAATGATTAGTTTTCATCTAAGGATAGTCATTCTAGGCACATAGATATAAAGTTTTTCATAAGAATACCTATCTGTCTGATTGCAGAATGCCATTGAACATCTATGCTGCTGCTCCTCATCTCAGGTGGGAAGGATTTATAGCTTTCTAGACTCCCCAACCATGGAACTCTCCAGGACACATTCCAATTACTAGTGCTGTGTTCTGTGTTTAGGATTTGGTCCTCAAGACAGAAATATGGGTCTGCAATGGTGTTTCATTTTGTTCACCCAACTATAAACTATAGAGCAAGCATCTCTTTTTGGTTGTAGCCAACTCCACAGCTTGCTTTGTTTCTAATGTTATATAGTAAATATAGACAAAATATAGTATAATTAAATATAAGCTCCTAGATCATGAGGTCTCTGGAACAGGGACTGCCTTTTCATTACTTGTCTGTATAGCACAGGCATAGTGGTCCCCTGACTGGGGCCTCTAGACTACTATAATACAAATAAATAAGCAAACAAATAAACATAATTTCCTTCAATATGTACTGTTGCTGTCAGTTTCGAGAAGTAATTACCACTGGACTGGAATCTGTTCTGTGTGAACAGCTGGGGTCCTCCATTACATTTTGTGCAGATAGTAACTTGCAGCTGATTTCTCCTGCATTTGAATTCTGAAAAACTGCTTCCTTTTGGTTATTAGCCATATTACTAACAATTGCTTCTTTTACCTCCGCCTGAAAAAATAAATAGTTTCACATCTTAAAAGGAATACTTTAAATGCTACCCTAAATTGCAGTGCCAGTAGGACAGGAGATGAACATTTATAGCTGCATAAACAATGCATTTTAAAGCAAAAACTGCATTCAAACCTAATTTGGAGAATAGCTAGTTCTAACTGTTACAGCTTAGACTGAATGATTTTCATTTAATATTCAAATGAAAATACTTCTAAAGAATAACAATGGGTAATGCACAAAGACATATTTTACAGTAACAAAGCCGTTCCTTCCCTTCCTATACTGGCAATCATCAACTCAGTTCCATGCTGCCCTGGAGAAGCTAAGAGACTGCTTTAACAAGTAATGTGAAACACATGAATTAGTCATACAATATACAACTTGAGCCCTATGGACTCAAGGGATTTAATTTAATTAACAACCAAGCAATAACATCAGGACTGGAACCTAACAGTTTAAGCAGCATTCCCATACTAAGACATTTGTCAAAGTGATCAGTGAGTAAACTTTGGTCGTACTCTTCTTCAAATGGGAATTGCCACACCTTTACTCATTGGCAACACTATCCACCATAAAGCATTTGTCAAGCTGGTACATGGAAGAACTGTAGTACCCACTGCATAATGATCAAACCTCTGAATAAAGCCCTGATTCATTCAAAGCACACACTAAAGCACTCACCAGGAACCCTGGCACACCTTGTCCATGACAGCGTTCCAGGGATGTCTAGCAAAAAGTTCTCCAACCTGGAATTTCTTTGTTTTTATGGTTTGTCTTTTATAAACCTAGGAAATTACATTTAAAAAACCCAAACATAGTAAGAGAATGTTAGGGTTGCAAAGTGAAGCACTCCAACAGTAGTAATTGCCAGTGTTATAGTTGTACCTCAGCCTTAACTCTGCCCCTTTGTATGCATGCAACATAATACAGGCTCAGATGCTAAGTGACAGCTGAGGGGTTTTGGGCACAGCTCAGGATGGGATATATGCAAAGGTAGCCATAAGCCACTTTTGAATTCTCTGACTGTACAGGGATGACTGGCCACAGTCCATGTGACTGCCTTAGGCAGAGGGGTAGCATAGAAGCTACTACACCATCCAAGATCCCCCTGGGCTGGGGAAATCCTTTGGGGGGGGGGCAGGCAAAGCAGCTATAGGGCATTACATTATCAAATAAAATGCATCTGCAGGACTAGTCTCTCTTTCGGGCCCTGATTTAGCAAAGTACTTATGCATGTGCACAGCCTCACTGGGTACGTCCATGTTGCCTGCAAACTGCCCACAGAAGCAAGTCTCCCAGCCCAGGATGAGACACTTGGGGAATTGAGGCTTGTGCTAGTGATCTAAAAAGAACTGTGCAGATAGTGCTTTGAACTCAGGCTCTGAAGCCTAGCCCCTTCCCCAGGCTTCAGAGCCCAAGCTCCAGCCTGAACCATGATATCTACACAGCCTACTTTCAGTGCAGTAGTGCAAGCTCCACTAACCTGAGTCTGTCAACCCAGACATACCTAGTGACCAGATCACCCAAGTCAAATATCAGGACGTGGGGGGGTGGGGGGGGTGGGAAGTGGCGTGACACGGGGGGGTGGGGCCAAAAACAAACAAAAACAAAAAAACCACCCGAGCAGGCAGGACTCAGTCGGGCGGTAGGGAGGGTAGGGGGGCGGCCCGCGGGGCCAGGCGGTGGCTGTTCTTCCCCCCCCCTGGGCAGTGGGACTCGGGAGCAGCCGCTGCTGCAGCTCCCACT